TACATACGGGGCCAGATGGCTTTCAGTCAGCTGTAAGGTGGTGAACATATGGGTGTACATGATATCCACTGAGCTTCCTTGGTCGACCAGTATGTGTCGCATGTCAAAATTTGCAATGCGGGCTCTCACAAGTACCTGGATGGTCGAGTTCGGAGCTCCGCCCCACAATTCCTCCCTGTAGAAAGCGAGGGGATGAGAGCCTCCTCGAAATTTGCCCAAAGTGGCGTCCATGTCTGAGTTAACTTCGATGAACTGGTCGAATCTTCTTTTTACCGGCCCAACCGTGTGCCTGTTGAATCCCCCGCCAGAGATGACCATAATGGCAGGGAATGATTCCCAAGGACTGTGAGAGGAGAAGTACAACAAGAAGTTCTCCATGTCTGGGTAGTAGAAATCTTCCAGCCGCGAGATGCTCATGGCGACCGGTATGGTGTTGATGTCGGGGGAATCCTTCCCCTCTTTGACATTTTTAGTTTCTGGTGCTTCTTCATGGGCGCCCTCCTTCTTTTTGTTTTATTTGAGGTGCCCATCTCGAATCAGTATTTCGATTTCATCTTTGAGATGAATGCAATCCTCGGTGTTGTGCCTGTGGCTTTTGTGGAACCTGCAATATTTTCTCTTGTCGGTTCTTAGTTTGGAAGGCGTCTGTCGGGGGAAGCATACCCCGACCTGTTTCAATTCAGAATTGGCGCATTCAGGTAGAATACGCTCCCTTGAGGTAGTCAGAGGGGTGTAGTCGTGGAAACGACCAGTTGGCCCCTTGTAGTCCTTGGAGTTCAGGGACCTGTCTTCTTGTTTCTTTTCTCCCCAATGGGATGTCGAAGGTTCGTCGTTCCTCAAGGTCTTAGCACTCTCTATGTGCCTCGATTCCCTAGCGCTGTTGGCGGCTTCCTTCTCCTTGTATTGGATGTATGCATGTTCCTTGAGGAGGAAGAAGTCGAGTGTGGTTGGGGATTTGATGCCCACAACTTTGGCAAAGTCGCTCCGGGGACGAAGCTCGTGCTCGAGGAGATATTTCTTCATGTTGTTGGTCGTAGAGACCTACACTGCTTCCTTGTTGAAGCACTCGATATATGCCTGCAGAGATTCATCTCTGCCTTAGATGATTGCTTCGAGCAAAGCCTCCAACTTTGGGTGTCAACGAGGGGTGGTGAAGTGCCTCAAAAATATCCTCCCGAGCTACTTCCAGGAGGTGATAGATTCGTCCGGGAGACTCTTGTACCAAGATATTTTTCCTTTCCTGAGAGTGGTTGGGAACAGTCTACACTTGATGGCCCCTCTGACTCCTCGATAGTCGAGGAGAGCGTCAATGTTCTCTATGTGCTTGTCGGGGTCCGTCGTTCCATCATAGGTTCTCAGCGGGAGTGGCTTCTCCAGGCCGACTGGGAGTTCGGCCTTTGTAATCTCCCTTGATAGCGGGTCGTGGGGCTTATCGTCATCACTTTCTATGGAAGACGGAGAATGGGAGTGATAATTTCTTCCCCATTGGTCGTCGTCGTCTATTTGGGGAGATGGACTTCTCCGTTTCTGTCTAGGTTCAGGAAAATGTAATCGAGCACAGTCGATTTGACGGTCGCCTTTCCTCTTCTTGGATGAAGGAGAGTCTTGATCTTTCGTGGGAGGCGCACGACTGTGTTTCTTGAAGAAAGAAACGTCACACTTCTCCTTTCTTGGTGGAAGGCCATGCCTATGTGGAGATATGCTGGGGGAGTCTCGTCATCGAGTTCTCCGAGGGGGAGACCTTTCCCACTTCTTCTCCCAGGCCCATATCCTTTGGTTCTGCTGCAGGATAAGGGCGTTGGTCTGGTTGATGGCAGCGAGCAACACTGCAATAGCTGGGTCGGCACTGAGAGGAATGGTAACTGGTTGCAGGATCTCTGGAAGTCCCTCGGTGGGATTCTTGGGATGTCCTTTGTCCAAGAATTGATTGTCGTCGCGTCGGGCTTCAGTTGAATTTGGAGACGTAGTGTGGCCGTCTCAGAAACCTAGGTTTCCTCGAGTTGAGGATGTTCCTGGCTTCTGTCGACTTTGTGCGCTGGGGAAACGATAGTCCTTTCAAGTAGGTGGAAATCATTTGGGTCAGCCATGATTGGTGAAAAGAATCTTGAATATTCGCTTTGATCTTTGAGTTCCGGGGAAAGAAAGATGGGGATAACATGTTTCCCATTGACGGCGCCACCGATCTTACTAGTTGATCAGAACCTGCAAGGTGGCCGGATGATGATCTTTGATTGGGCTATGATGTCAAGGAGGAAAAAATGGGGTTGTACCTAGGGGTGTTCGCGGTGCGGTTTGGGCGGTTTTGAAGCAAAAAATTATCTGAACCGCAAGAGAAAAAAACATGCGGTTCGGTTTGGTTCGGTTGGCTTTTAAAAATAAATCCGAACCAAACCAAACCAAACTAATGCGGTTTGGATTGGTTCGGTTGTTTCGGTTTTTTACAAAAATAATTATTATGTCATACATACAAATATATAGGAAAATATAATTTTATATTTAATTGTTCATACATTACCATAAAAAATTTATAATTGTCAAAATAAATTTATAATTTGATACATAAAATTGTGTATTATAATTTTATCTAAATATAAATAATGATATCAACAAGATTGCATTCTTAAATAAATATTATACAAAGAATATGATAAAATATATTTTGTGAAAATAGTATTTATAAATTAATAATATTTTATTTTTTATGATTTGTAAATTAAAATGAATATAATACAAAGTATGATAAAATATACACATAATACATGTTGATTTCTCTAAAGAATTATAGAAATATATATTGGTTAGTAAGATTTTATAACATAATGCGGTTTTGTTTGGTTTGGTTCGGTTTGTAAAATACAAACCGCAAACCGAACCAAACCATGCGGTTCCACGAGAAAATGACCCAAACACATCCGAACCAAATGCGGTTTTTTGCAGTTTCGATTCGGTTCGGTTCGGTTTTGCGATTTTCTATTGGGTCGGTTTGGTTTTGAACACCCCTAGTTGTACTTGTACCTGCAAGACACTCCGACGATCAAGTAAGAGTGGGAGCAAAGAGATACAAGCAAATTGTTAAGGTATTAGTGGTAAATAATGAATATTCGATACCTGACCCTCACATGTGTCAGGGTTTATATAATGCCCCTGGCGCATGATCAGTGGTTCATATTTTGGGCCTAGATATGTGGATCCGCAAAAATAGGTAACTGCCAGGACTTGCGCATACCGGCAAGTGTGCCCGCAACTAGCCGTTAGATCTGAGGAAGATGTAGGTTACGGGCAACAATCTGGTCGGTTCCTGGTTATCTGCACGACTTGAGGTCGGGAAGACTGAGAGGTGCCCGTCGATCATTTTGGGTCAGCGCCGACTTATGAGGGAAAATGGTCGATGTTTCCCGACGGAGAGTGGGGGAGATTCGGGTCATGAGTGTACGGACCGTACCGAAAGAAGTAGTAAGACTAGACCCACTCTGGATGTAGGGCCATTCCAGAACAATACCCAATACAAATCTTGAAAAAAGACAAATTAAATGACAAAAACAAAAACAGAAAATTTATAAATTAAATCTTGAGATTGAAGCTTGATAATACCTCTGAAGCTAACTTCCAAACAAAACACAAAAAATAATAATTATTAATTACAAATATAAACAAAAATTAAAAAAAGAGAGGTAAAATCATAGGTTTGAATTGATGATTGAAAGAAATTAAAGAGAAAATTGTTTGTATGAATGGAAGAATAGGGGAAGAAGGATTGTAATGGTTGAGATGAAGAACAAAGTAGAAGAAGAAGAAGAAAAAATAGGGTTGTTGTATAAATGAGCGAAGCGAAAATTATATAAAAGCATCAGCGATGTGAAAAACACGTCGCAACCTTGCCACATGTTAATCATGTCGCAATAAACAAACTGTTATAAATCAATGGCTAACCAGGGGCGTGAATATCACGTCGCAACCTTGTCATGTGATATTCACGTCGCAACCAGTCAACAATACAAAGATTGAAAAGTCTTTTGCACCTCATCAAATCTGGAGAAGTCTGTTATGTCACTTTATTTTTCAAACTTTCCCACTAAAATGTTGCGACGTGAAATACACGTCACAACTTATAATTTGAGATTTTATTTTATTTCTCCCCAATTTGAATGTTACAGTTTTATTTTTTTTATTAAATTGTTTATTTGCGAGGTGATTAACACGTCGCAGTCACAATGTTATTTTTTTAAAAAAAAAATTGACTCCCCATGTGAACGTTGCATGTTGAATTTTTTATTATTATAAATAATTAATGACATGATAATCACGTCGCACTTTATTTTTTTTTACCACGTAATTATCCTATTACAAAATCACTTTGCTAGGACCATTTTTCTTGTAGTGTGCAGTCATGATTATTTTAAACAATCACTTTAATTATCAATTATTATTTTAAATCAATCATATTTCATTATCTTTTATCTTATTATTTGATTAATATTTTTTTGATAGAAATTATTTGATTAATATTTAAAAAAATACTACTTCCTCCGTAACGATTTATAAATAAATTTATTTATTTTTATATATTTAATAATTAATATATTTAATTTATATATGAATTAAATATATTAATGGTCAAATATAAATAAAAAAAATTCAAATTTACTTTTATAAATAGTTAGAGAAGGAGTATGATATTATAAAAAGACCCTGAAATAATAGATGTTAGATATGCTTAAATATAATTGTGTCTATCCATCTAGTTTTTAAATTAAAATATTTCAAACTAATATCTATAATTCATTTAATAATTTGCAAATGGGATTCCACATATTAGTTATATTATTAATTATTTATTTTTTATTGAATTATTATTTTAAGTTTTTTTTAAATGATTAAAATGTATCCTATGTTTATAAATACACGATGGAGAATAAATTTATGACAAAGAGACCACTGTTTCCTTCCTCACCACAATAAAAGCGAAATTGTAGTTATTTCACGTGAAACTCGTTCGTTCGATGTTGATGGTGGCGAAGGAAGAGAACGAAAGCTGCGGCAGCGGAGTGCACCACCGCACGACGTCGTCGACGTCATCGGCTCCGTCGCAAAGCCGGCAACATCGCCAGAAAGTCGAAGTGTACGATGAGATTCTCCGCCGGCTTAATGATTCCGGTAACGAAGAAGCTTTGCAGCCTGGATTTAACGATCAGCTTTGGGCTCACTTCAACCGTCTTCCTACACGGTTGTTTTCATATCTCGCATTTTGCATTCGTTTCTCTTCTCTCTCACGTTCGCGTGCTGTTCATCGTTTTATGAGAATATAATTCTTCTTCTTTATTGTGGTTGTGTTTATTCGAGGTTTTGCAGTGGTTTCGTTTCGTTTAAAGCGTGGATTTATGAAGTAGAATTAACTGTGATTTTTTTCTTCAGTTTATTTTTTATTTTTGAAATTCTGTTGAAACCGTGTGCATGCATGAGATTGAATCTTGATAATTTGGATTGGATAATTGGATGAATTTTGTGATTCCTTTTAGTTAATGTATTATGATTGATTTGGTTTTCCAGTATTATTTCTCTTTCTCTATGGAACACGGACACCTCTGGTTGTTATTATGTTTAATTTATTCATTTTTTGAAAATGATTGTAGCTCTTTCTTTTCAAAATATTTTTGGTTTTGGGGAGAGATTTGAGGGTATTCTGTAATGCAGGTATGCGTTAGATGTGAATATAGAAAGGGCAGAAGATGTTCTAATGCACAAGAGATTACTACAATTAGCACATGATCCGGCTAATAGGCCTTCAATTGAAGTTCACTTAGTCCAGGTGACTTGACCCTTACAGTGCTGTGTTCTTCACGATATTAATTCAAATCCTTGCAGTTTTCATTTCTTAGTGCTTTCGTGTTGTGCAGCATTATTGTTTTGCTATGCTCTGACTAACCAATTATCATCACTCATAAGCTCTGTAGCACCGACACCTCTGGAAAAATGTGTGTATGTGTTAGTGTGAGAAATCGACACAAACGCTTGTTATTACTTTTGATTTATTCTTTTTTTTCTTCTTCATATTATTACCAATGTCTACATGTTAAACTATTAAAATGTATATGTTCCAATCAGAGGGACTGCCTGTTATCCCCTAATGCCTTAACAAGCTGAATAAGATAAAGCATTTTGAGTATAATGGTGTTGTTGAACACCGTCTGGAACAATTTATTTTGTAAATTATTTACATTTTATTCAAGTAGTTTTTTTCTCCGCCTAGACTCTCTATTCTTGAATGAAATATATATATTTTACATGCGGCTGAAACAGATTTATAAATAGTCATTAAAGCAAATACCATAGTTGACACAGTTCACTACAACCATACCATACTCCAATTAATTGTGTTTCTGCTTTATATGTGATTTGAAGTTAAATTGATCAGGCATACCATTGAGAAGATGTAAGCCGAAGTCAAAAACAAGTCACCATAGTTACTTATATTGGGAAGTTCAAATTAATTTTTAAATGATTGTTTGTAACTGAAATAGCATGTGCTTTAAATGTCGAAATAGGGGTCTTTGTTTAGGTTTGTCGTCATGAGCATAATTAACATTTATGTTGTACATGTATGATCTATGATGCTGAAGTAATTTAATCAGCATGCCTTGAATTTTTCATTACCTCATTGACTGAAGGAATATAGTACTTTTTGAATTTCAACCTGTTTTCATATATCATTGTTGATGATTCGTTTAAGCCTCTTTTGGGTATACTAGCGTTGTAGCTGAGGAAAATCTCTTACAGAATGTCTCTTTTGTTGGTGTGTCATCGGTATTCCGTGTATATTTTCTTTCACAAGATCAAGCTTCATTTGTCTAGTTGAATTGTCTCTTGTTAAGTAATCAGATAATTTTCATGCTTCTGAACTGTAAACATTATGGCTTCCCCCCATGGTATTCAAGTTCTTGTCAGTTTCAGTTTTCATATCTTGAGCAATATGATTCATATCATTTACTTTGTTTCATCTGACCAATATTATTTCGGCGTTGGAATCTGTGCAGCTTCATCCCTCATCTGATGAAAACCCAGCTGACTCGCTCCAATCATATTCTCCTGGGGTAGATTCTGGTCAAAGCTCTCCTAAGTATTCAAGCAGGCAGGGGTATCATTTTCTCACTTATTATCCTGATTTCAAAAAAAGTAAAATTTTAGGGTGCTCCTATCACAAAGCTCGAGTAATAGCTATATGTAAAGGCCAACCAATTATCCTAGTAAGTTGGACTCAATGGCTGTAATATTCAGTTCTGATTCTGTTTTCTCTATATTTATCGGTAGTATACTTCCACCTCCTGCTTTTGGCTCTTCTCCTAATCTTGAAGCACTGGCTCTTGAAGAAAATGATTCTGAAGACTCAGAAGAGGAACGATTCGTACATGCAAGTGTACAATATTCACGGTGAGATTTCTGTTGCAAGCTTTTTTTAGGCCTAGACCTGGAAAATATATTTAAACACTGACCTGGAGTCTAGATTACTTCCTTTTCTTTTTATGTGGGGGGTGGATCTGAAGATTTAACTCAGCTCTTCTATAACACTAGCACTTTCCATATATGATATATCTGCTTTTCAGTTATATTAATATTAATATCTCGTTGGTATTCTTGAGGTTGAGATGCTGATAGTTATTATTCTTATGGTAGTCTGGTCTTAATGTATTCATATTATATCTGGCCAATCATCTACAAAACAAAACTAAGAACTCACATGCCCAAGATATGTCTATCTAAGCTTGTATGATGGGATGATATATTGTACCTCAAACGATTTATGAAATTTTGTTCTGGTACTTGAATTAAATTTTGAATGCTTATTAAAAAAATCAATAACATGTCACTGAAAATAATGTAGGCCCATGCATGAAATCACTATCTCAACAGATGACAAGCCAAAGCTTCTCAGCCAGGTATGTGATAGTCTTTCTTATCAAAATATTATGTATATTAAAACTACCTTTTTCCTAAACTAGTAGCACAAATTTAGAGTTCACCACTTTTGGTTCATATATTAATCAAAACGCGTGATTGATGATGGGACAATATTTGACTCGGTTGGATCAGGCATTCAGACCTAACCTACACACAATCACCCTACTTATGCAAACTTTATTATGACTAACTTCGAATGCCGTGTGATAAATGAGAGCATCTCAAAGGCGTGATTGCTTCTGCAGTTAACTGCTTTGCTTGCTGAGGTTGGACTGAACATCCAAGAAGCACATGCTTTTTCCACAACTGATGGTTACTCGTTGGACGTGTTTGTTGTTGAAGGCTGGCCCTATGAGGTATGTTGATAATCATTTGTTATTCTTACCAGTTTTTTGGGCTAGGTGCAGAATGGAATAAAAGTGAGAAGTTTCTTTCAGAATCAGTGTTATCAAATTGCAGCACCATGGCCGCTATGGCGGATATACATGTCAGTTTTTGGGTTCGCCACAATGGTAAATATCGACCGATATTGCGGGTTTTTTCGCCATAATCCGCTATAACAGCGCCGCAAAGCGACCAGTATTGCGGGATTTTGGCCCTCCACCATGGATTGGTATCCGCCATCGACAACACTGTTCAAAATTTAATGTCACAGACCCTTATATTTATCTTGAAAAACATAATATTTGAATTCATAGTGACCTAAACCATGTTACAGCTACCATATTTCAGTTCACAAGCACCAGCTTATCAACATTATTGTCTCGGATGTGATTTTATTGTATTTTAGCATACTTTGTTATGTCATTCTCTGCCGTCAGTTTGTTCTCTTTTTATTATCTAAGTATTTTGAAAAGGCTTAGCTAATGGGGCTGTGTTGATTATTCGGTTTGAAAACAGGAAACAGAGAAGCTAAAAGCAACTTTGGAAAAAGAAGTCTTGAAGATTGAGGTAACTCAGGCCCTTTTTTTTTTTTTGATAGTTGCTATATAGTCAATTCGACAAAAGTTCAATAATTGAATTCTTATGGACTACTTTCAGAGGCATGATAGGTCCAGACAGCAATCAATATCATCTTCTGATGAGTGTGATCAAGCAAGGATGAACAATGAGCTGGATCATTTGAATATTCCAAGTGATGGCACAGATGTTTGGGAAATAGATCCCAAACATTTGAAATATGGAACTCAAATTGCATCTGCATCATATGGTGAACTGTAAGTACACAGCAATCTTGAATTATGAATTTGTGTTAGCTCCACAAACATTCTCTGTAGGCGCATATATTATTTCAATTTTAATTGACCAGTTCTTTAAATTAAATCAGATTTAAAGGTACATATTGTAGCCAGGAAGTAGCCATCAAAGTTCTCAAGACTGAACATGTAAGTACAGAAATGCAGAAAGAGTTTGCTCAAGAAGTCTACATCATGAGGTTTGTTGTATTAAATTTGCTCATTTTACCATTTGAAGTCTATCTACTTGTTTTTTGATTTAGTATTTTGCATGTGAGAAGGTTAACAATGTCAAAAGAATCCTTGTTATGATGGAAAAACTATCTATCAAAAAGAAAAGATGTCAGAATGCATTTTTAGTAGGGCCAAAAGTGGACGAGCTACAAGAACATATAATATCTGCATTAAGAACTAGTTTCTTGGTTCTAGTCATCACATGCCAAACTTTTAATGCAGCTGACTTATATTGTTTTTTAGTTGTGTTTTCATTTCAAAAAAGTATGCATATACAAACTTGCTGATGGAACTTGCAGAAAGGTTCGACACAAGAATGTTGTGCAATTCATGGGAGCATGTACCAAGCCCCCAGGCTTATGCATAGTTACAGGTGAAATATGATGAATACATTAATAATTGAATAGATGTGATCTTAAATATTTAGCAATCGTCATCAACCCCATTATAATGGCTGTTTTCATTTAAAATGTCAGAGTTTATGTCTGGTGGAAGTGTATATGACTACTTACATAAGCATAAAGGGTGTTTTAAATTTCCTACCCTGCTCAAAGTTGCAATTGATGTTTCTAAAGGAATGAGCTACTTGCACCAACATAACATAATCCACAGAGACTTGAAATCGGCCAATCTTTTGATGGATGAAAATGGTGTATGTTTCCTCTAATTTTGTATTATATGATCTGATTCAATACTTTGTTTGATCTCAACCCTCTCTCTCACTTGCACGTACACCACCGACACAACATACCATATGTACGGAATAACATAAACCAGGTATATATAGAAGTGAAAGTTGTATGTGGTGTTACATCACAGGTTGTAAAGGTTGCCGATTTCGGAGTTGCTAGAGTGAAAGTTCAATCTGGGGTTATGACAGCAGAAACTGGGACTTATCGTTGGATGGCTCCTGAGGTAATTTTCTCATAGTTAGGTTGTTCTAATAGCTTGTGTTATCTTGATGAGCTTTTCAAGACACTTTGTCTTTTGAAGATTGGTTGTTTTATTCTTAAGCGTTTATGTTTATTAATTTGATGATTTTTATAGATTTGTCTTTCTAGAAATATATAGCAAATGAAATTGTTGACATTACTCACGAGCCACTTAGGTTCCAGACATGTTCTCTTATCAACTGTAGTAAAATATACTACCAATCTTCTTATCCTAATGTACAGCAAAACACTGTTCTAAAGTGTTCAGTTTTGAGTTTCTTTGTTTTCTTTTCCAGCACATGTAAGATGACCTAACTATCAACATCTTGCGGGTTGTGAGATAAAACTGGTAGCAAAGGTAGATGAGTGATATCATTCATCTTGTCATATTTTCTTACCATGATTACTCTGCATTGAAGGTTATTGAACACAAGCCGTATGATCACAAGGCTGATGTATTTAGTTTTGGAATTGTTTTATGGGAGTTGCTCACTGGAAAGGTACAACACATTTTTACTACTGCTACTACTACCTTATGATTATTCCAAAATTAACCTCTCATTTAAACTATTGTATTTTTGTTGTCAGCTTCCATACGAATATTTGACCCCTCTACAGGCAGCCATAGGAGTTGTTCAGAAGGTAATTCTTTTAATTTGGTTGGTATAATAAGCTGAAATATAATGTCTTCTTGCTTCTAGAAACTTTAGGGAAATTGATTTGCATGGTGACCGGAAGGATCTATATTGTATAGAGAATTACTTATGTGTTACCATAACTTTTCAGAGTATACGGCCCACCATCCCCAAGAGTGCTCATCCAAAGTTTGTTCAGATTCTTGAGAGGTCTTGGCAGCAAGATCCAACATTAAGACCTGATTTCTCTGAAATCATTGAGCTCTTGCAGCAATTAGCCACGGAGGTATAACAAGGTCACTTTATGTTTTATCTGATATGCATATAGGGATCTTGACATGTGCTAGTAGTTTACACACTAGGGAGTCACTCTAATTTTTGCTTTAAGAAACAGATTGTATCAAATTAGTTAAACACGTCTTGTGTACACTATACATAGAATATACTTGCACATCCATGCTTTCACAGGCAGGCATGAGCAATGCTCATTGACATTTGATGTTAAATTCTGGCACCTTTAACAATTCTTTGTTGAATATGACATTTGATGATAACTTCCAATTCAACTTCAATGGTTGTATTTATATTTTACAGAAGATTATTGAATGTCTAAGTATGTATGTGGAACAGGTTGGAGATGAAGGAGAGGAGCGGCGCCGGGGTAATTCGGGCGGATTTCTGTCTGTCCTCAGACGAGGTCATCACTAACTTTTTGAACTGATAGCCTCCACAACTTTGTTATAGCTAGGATCAAAATCATAGTGGCCATTTCACTTTATTTTACATAGACATGTACAGTCTTCACATTTTCTGATTGTTTTATATTAGATATTTCACTATTTAAGCCTTTTGAAATTGACCAATTACCCATTCGTTAGCTTTACGAAGGCATTTATTTTTGTCTGTAGTAAAGAGGTTAAGGTATCATGAATGAATAATGTAAATCAAAGATGCCTTTTTTCAGCTAAATGTTACTAATGTGAAGTATTGTCTTTTATAATTTTGCCAGTTTCTTACATTACAATTTTCTTTAGTTGTTGCATTTATGTAACGGTGAAGCAGGTTAGGTACATAAGATAAGTTAACGGCATGCATCAGCCTTGTAAACTGTATATGGTTTGAAATTGGATCTATGATGTATGTATGGAAGAAAACTTGTTAAAAGAAATGAATTTCTTAAATAATTTCCGTACGTTGAATGTTTAGTATGTAATTTTCAATAGTGTGAAAAGTGGTATATTTCTGATTGTAGTAAATTCTTAGTCTGGGTATGCATGCTTGACAATGGAATATTTCTGAGTGATGATATCAGTAACACTTCTTGGTCCTGGAAGACATTCTTTGAAGTCGTTGTTAATGTCCTTTGAAAAGATTGCAATTCATTGGTGGGGAAAATCTTTAGTACTATGTCATCATAAACTAAACTAGAGAATTCATCCACAGACCCCACTCCTTGATCGCCCACCTCCATAAATTATATGAAAATTCAAAATATCATTTCCGCGAATAAGTAAAAAAAAAAAGCAATTTCTTAATACACCTTTATGTCTATGGTGAAATGTTTTTTATTTTCGGAGATATATCTCTGAATGCATTATTTTTCACAAAAAAACTTAATTTCGGAGATGTATATTTGAAATTTTCTTATTTTTAACAAAAAAAAATCGGATATGCATCTCCGAATAAACCTTATTTTTTTACGAAAAAATGTATTTTCGGATATGCACATCCGAAAAGTTCTCTGTTATGAAATCCTCAAAAGTCTTTAACTTGCAATGGTGAGTTTAGATCATCAATTTTGAACATTAAATACCATGGAATTGTCATTCTATATCGATATACCAAGTGGTTGGCGAAAATTCGTGAATGCATTCTATCATGGTTGCTATTTGACAGCGCAATAGGTTTAATAAAATTTTAAACCTTAATGTATCATAATCCATATTACAATTTCATAGTTATCTTATTAGTTCATGTAACTATAAGCTCTTGTTGTCTTGATTCTAATGATGTGTGGCACTAAAGGTGATGACGGTCTTGCAAACAATTTTTCCCCTATAACTTAAAAAAAACACAACTGAGAACTTTTCGGATATGTATATTCGAAAACACTTTTAAAAAAAAAAGATTTATTCGGATATGCATATCCGAAAATACATTTTTTTTGTTAAAAATAGGGTAATTTCGGATATGCATCTCTGAAATTAAGTTTTTTGTGAAAAATGATGCGTTCAGAGATGTATCTTCGAAAATAGAGAGCATTTATGTTATTTCGCCAAAGACCTCTAAAAAGACATAAGGGTGCATTAAGAAATTACCAAAAAAAAAAATTTATACATGCTCACATTTGATTTTTTTTCCTCCCAAAATTCTAAAAAGATTTGTGCGGTATCCTTCAAACAAATCAACATAGAAGGTTTTAACTTACCACCTTTAAAATTATACATGACACTCACTATATTTTTCTAATATAAAAACTATCCCTTGTTAAAAATGAACACAATTTCCGAATAAAATTTCTGATATATTAGTGGAAATTTTTGGTATAGGTCAAAATTCTAGTAGTGTATTTGAAATTTTTCGGTAAGTTGCATTTTTTTCGAAAATTTCAAAACTTACTAGTCTAGAATGAAATGGTGAAATTTTAGGTAGTGTAATAACTCAAATTTTTTTAACGATCATGATTTTGGCAACAGTTTTGTAGGATTGCGATTTCACCAATAATTTTCTGTAGTAGAATGAATTCAAAGTTGTATAAATAGGGACATATGTTATAGAGAAAGAGATCTCAAAAATGGCCTCTTCCTCAGTTTTTGATTAAGGCATACGTGTACTTCAACGGAGACAAACCTCTTGTTGAGTTTAAGCTTTAGATGGCACCACGTCTCTCACCAACTTGACAGACAAATTAAATAAATTGATGCATGATATCGATAATAGAAGAGTGAGAAAGATCGAGTTTCGTGAAGATTGGATTGATAGTAATAGAATGGAGAAATACAACCTGGTTGAGTTGAATATCGATGAAGATATATGGGCCATGTGGAAATCTTTTCGACGTAGGATTACTAAGGGAACGATCGAGTTTAACACGAAGATTATAAGATATGTCGACGACATAATCAAGATGCTTAAACATCCAAAATCATCTAGTAGTACCTAGGTTTTCATATTTAGTTATTTTTAATTTATGTTTGTTTTATTATTTTATGTTATGTTTATCTCTGAATTGAAACATGTAATTGCCAAAATATTATGCAATAAAAAGTACTATGAATAGATGTCTCTGTAGTAGCATGAGTCGTAACGTCTATGTGAGTAGGAGTATCATCACCTGCAACAGGAGGTATGAGAGACACCTCATCAACAACAGGAGTCTGCTCAGGCGCTAAAGGAACCTCATCAACAGCAACCTCAAGAGCAGGTACTTCTTCGAAGCAGGTACCTCCATAGCAGCAGCAACTCTAGGAGCTCAGTGCAGAGGTGCGTGAAACTGCGTCTGTTCAACCATTTGTTTTCGATGAGAATCGGTCGGAGCACGTCGTTCAGCCCGTAGCTGGGAAGTCTTTGCCTCAGCAGCCCTGACCCAAGCTTTCTCTCTATCTCTCAACCTGCCTGAAATAGATTCGTCTTTTCCCGTGGTCCTCACTAGAATAAATGGAAAAACAACAAAAAAATAGTGAAATTTTAAACGACTGAAAATTTTAAAATTTCTAGAAATTTCAAAAAAATTTGAACTATCGGATATTTTGAAATTTCCAGAGTTTTTTTAAAAAAAAATTAACTATCAGAAATTTTGGAAATTTTTGGTAAAAAATACCAGAATTTCTGTAATTTCCGTGAATTTTTCCCAAAAATTCCCAAATTTTCGATATTCTGCTTACTTTTCCTAAATAATTCCCGGTATGCTGGTGAAATTTTCGATATCGCTCTAAAGGATTTTTGGTATCGCTCAAGAGATTTCAAATTTCTTATTTCTCCCTGAATTTCGAAATTGATGGAAACTTTGAGTATGGTTATATTAATCTTTTCCTTCTCTCTGGAAGGGTGTCAGGTTAAACTCTAGGGGTGACAAGTTAAAATTTCTCAACATAGCAACATGTATGATGTAACATGATTTTTAAAGTAGATTTTTCATATTTTTCATGCACCTTTACACTTTTTAAAATATGAAGACAATAAATTTTTCCGCACATTTCATTTTGGAAAAAAAAAGCAGAATATTTTTGGTTTCTATATTTTTTTTCCACATTTTATCAATCTCAAAACACGCAAAACACATTTTTTTAAGGGTGACAAAATAGATGGATTGGATTTGCTTGTTAATGGATAGATAAAATAGATGGATTGAATGGATACAAATTTTATTGTTAAGACAATTTATTTTTACACCCTTATATAATGAGGTGCACATTTGAAAACCTCAAAACACCCTTGTGTTTATTCGGAGATACATTTCCGAACGTACCAAATATCAACTTTTGTCAAAATTTAGTTTGGAGATGTATCTGCGAATTTTTTATGAGGTTAATTCAGAGATAATCTCCGATCATACCCCTGAAGCCATTTTCCAATGGTTTTATTTAGAATTTTTTTAGCCACTCAGTAATATTTTCGGAGATGTATCTCCGTAAAGCTCCGGCGAGAAATTTTTTATGAGGTTAATTTGAAGATACATCTACGATCACCCCTGAAGCCATTTTCCAATGGTTTTATTTAGAATTTTAGCCACTCAGTAGTATTTTCGGAGATGTGTCTCCGTAAATCTCCAACGAAATATTGAATATATAATCACCTTGCATCTTCATCTCTCTCACTCTTCAAACTTCTTTCATAACCAAAAACTCTGGAAAAAATTTCATTTCCAATCAACTTTTCGATTCAAACCAGATTTCTTGCATTTTATCACATCCTAGAGAGCAAAATAAGTTGTGATTTAAAGTAAAGTTCTCTCATTTTATCCCTCATCACTTGCATTAATCTTGTGTTTAAACTTAAAAATGTTCTCTTTGTCCGGATATACAAATCCGAACTCACCTACCATAACTTAGGATATGTGTATCTGAATTCTTTTGTTACTAGTTTTAAAGCATTTTCTTGTTTTAGTTCTCATTAAATATGGTGCACACAAATATGTTTCCCAAAGTTGTTGTATGTAATGATGTAAAACATGATGTAGCGAAGGATAATGTTAAACCTGATTAAGTGAATCATGGTGTTAAACTAGAAGAAGTAAATGATGATGTTAAATTGGTTCTTGTCGAGATAGATATTGGTCAGCGTTTCATAAATGAATAAATGTTTACTGCTTGCAAACATATGCTTCAATGGGTCTGCATGGTAACCAGGAATTCAAGGTTTGGCATTGTAATTGGAAGGTCCGATAATGGTTCAAATAGAAGACAAACATCTGTAACCATAAGATGCGATAGAAGTGGAACATATATTCCCCCGATTCAGAAGTTGAAAAATGATGACACCGGAACAAAAAAAATGTGATTGTCTGTTTAAATTACGCATATATTGAAACATGGATGAGATGTGGAAATTTAATGTGATTTATGGAATACATAACCAGTGTTTTAAAAAATGGACAGAACCATGCGGTCGGACCGGTCAAACTGGGAGCCTGAGGGATCACTGGTCTGGTCGGATTATTGGACCGAGTATGCTATTGAACCGGTGGGATCTGGCCAAAATCGGTTAAA